TCGTTAAAAAAACTCAGCAAAATAAAATTCCGGTTTATTGTTGGACAACATTGTTTCACACATACATCAAACAGGCCAAAAAAAAAAAAAAAAAAACAAAAAAAAAAAAAATTTACAATCTTATTCCGAGCATTCCAGTAACTTTTTTTGTGTATGTACTTTAGCTGTACTATAAGTAGTGGGTTTGTATGAGATGGCAAGGCCAAAGATAAAAGGTTTTTGGTTTTTTTCTGTCTATGAAGTTGCTGTTTATTTTTATTTTTTGTTTATTTTTTTTTTTTTGGCCTGTTTGATGTATGTGTGAAACAATGTTGTCCAACAATAAACCGGAATTTTATTTTGCTGAGTTGTTCTAACGAAGCTGGCTCCCAATTGCTGGTTTGTTTTTTGGTTTTATTTTTTTAAGTTGATTTGATTTGTCTGCTCAGAAGCTGGGCTGGGCCGGAGGCAGGATTTGATGGTGGTATTTTGCTGGGAGCTCCAGGCCTTCCCTGTATTCAGTGGGCTTCCTAGATTCCAAGACCAGATGATGGTCTAGTCTGAGCTGTATAACACAGGTCCATAGAACTTCCCAAATTCCTAGAGCAGATATTTTTAGAGAAACATCCCATCTTAAATTAAAAATGGTCAGTGATGGAGAATCCACCGTGATCGTTGGTAAATTGTTCCAGTGGTTAGTTATCTTCCCTCTTAAACATTTCTGCCTTATTTCCCATCTGAGTTTGTCTAGCTGCGACCTCCATGTTTGAGACCTTTCCTTGCTAGCCTGAAGAGCCCATTATGAAATATTTGTCCCCCAGGTAAGTACTTATAGGCTGATCAAGTCACCCCTTAAACATCTTTTTATAAGAGAGTGTGAGTGTCTGAGTGTCTCCTGGCTGAGGATCCCAGCATCTAAACGCTAGCCACTCCCTGGGGGGAGAAACCCTGGCCTTGCTGTGGAGGCTAAATACTATCTTGATGGGAAAGACGCATGATTTCAGAGGTGGTACTCTGCGGCTGTAGGCCTAGCTCCTCGAAGCTATTGAACTCCCAAGGGAATTAGATACCGAAGTACCTTTCAGGATCTGCTCCTCAGTTGCCCCCAAGGATGAGCCAGTCTCTGCACTGCCAGGGCCCTGGCCTTTCAGCCGAGCAGCCTACTTTCTTAGGCATCTTCCAGCTGGTTTCTGGGTTAGTAGGACAGGAGTCATCAGGGGCCTCGCGAGAAGCTGTGCTAGAAGAACATCTGGGGGAGTGTTTAGAGCAGGGGGGTCTCCCTGCAGAGGCCGCTCACGGGAGGTGGCCGCTCCGAGAGCGGGAAGGTGCCGCGGGCTGGCCATTAGGGACATGTGAATCCCAGCAAAGCTGCCAGCTTCGTTTCTTCAGCAATTGCAAGAGGCCTGGCTGTGGGCAGGAGCATATGTACAGGTATGGACACCATCTACCTAACCCTGCCTGGGGTTTGCACTCAGTTTAACCTGCCTGTCGCTGCAGTGTTGGGACTCCCCGGCTGCATCTGGCTAGGGTGGTTTCCCCTTTAAGGTCCTGGTGTTTCTAGAAGGTGCAGTGGCTGGGGGTCGGACTAGCACTCAGCCCGTCCTGACAAGGTAGCTGGGAGGGGCACAGGGCTGGCTGTGGTAGGGGAGAAGCCGCTGGAGTGTGATGGGGAGGCAGAGGTACTTTCATCGGGCTCCCTTCCTAGCGTGGATTTCTGAATCCCTTTGTAGGACTAGGGAGGAGTTTAAACAAAAACCCGGCAACCCCTAACCTGTAGCCTATCTCTGCTGCTTCGCTCTAACCTCCCTCCAGGGTTTTACAGCTAGGAATCACTCCACTTCCAGCACCAGCTGAGCTTCACGAGGTGGGCCAAGCATTCATGAGAACGTGCCCCATCTTTTTGGAACGTGTAACGCTGGTCTCGGTCTGAACTGTGCCAACACAAAACTGGGAGATTTCCCCTCTGCTGGGTTCCAGGTCCAGGGTGATAAACATATCCTGGCTGTTGGGGAAAGCGGTTTCTCCGCTTCCTTGCTGCTGTGAGCTATCTACATTATCTTCATCCTCATCTTCCTCATACCCCGAATCTGCTTCCCTGTGTGTTTCTCCATTGAAGGAGTCAAAGCACACGGTTGGGGTAGTGGTGGCTGCACCCCCTACCATCGCATGCAGCTCCACGTAGAAGCGGCATGTTTGCGGCTCTGCCCCGGACCTTCCGTTTGCCTCTCTGGCTTTGTGGTAGGCTTGCCTTAGCTCCTTAATTTTCACGCGGCACTGCTGTGTGTCCCTGTTATGGCCTCTGTCCTTCATGGCCTTGGAGACCTTTTCTAATACTTTGCCATTTCTTTTACTGCTACGGAGTTCAGCTAGCACTGATTCGTCTCCCCATATGGCGAGCAGATCCCGTACCTCCCGTTCGGTCCATGCTGGAGCTCTTTTGCGATCCTGGGACTCCATCACGGTTACCTGTGCTGATGAGCTCTGCGTGGTCACCTGTGCTCGCCACGCTGGGCAAACAGGAAATGAAATTCAAACGTTCGCAGGGCTTTTCCTGTCTACTTGGTCAGTGCATCTGAGTTGAGAGTGCTGTCCAGAGCGGTCACAATGAAGCACTGTGGGATAGCTCCCGGAGGTCGAATTCCGTTCACACTACCCCAATTCCGACCCGCTAAGGCCGATTTTATCGCTAATCCCCTCATCGGAGGTGGAGTAAAGAAACCGGTTTAAAGGGCCCTTTAAGTCGAAAAAAGGGACTTAGCCGTGTGAACGTGTCCAGGCTTAATTCGATTTAACGCTGCTAAATTCGACCTAAACTCGTAGTGCAGACCAGGCCTGAGTTCCTGGCCTTGTATTGTGTTCCCTAGAGTTAGTGGAAAAGACCACGTAGGATGGAGCCTGCTGCAGCCATCAGTGGTTTTCGCTGTTTGTAAGGGTTACGGCTGCCTGCTCATTTTAAGGCATCTAGCTGACTGATGCTCTACATCTGAGTCGCTCTACACTTACGCGGATGTTACTGAGCTCAAAGCCTGGCCCATTGTCCTGAATCACCTGCCTAATTGCACCAATCACTGGTATGCAGCATTGTGGCCGTGGGGGTCCCAAGATATAAGAGACAAGGTGGGTAAGGACTGACTTCTGGGGGTGAGAGGGGCAAGGTTTTGAGCTTACCCAGAGCTGGTCTTCAGGTCTGTCTGTCTCACTCATGGGGATTTGCAGTAGCTGGTTCCATACCAGCTATGGGGGCTTCCTCTCAGGCTGGGTTGGCTACATCCAGCCACACTCACTACCCTGGCTCTTTGAGGGATGATTAGCAGGAGTGAAGGGTGATTGATGGGGGGGGTTTTCCGCTCTCCGCCTGACCGGCTGCCTTGACCGGATTATGGCTTGCAATGGGTCAGAACCATGCACCAAAATGGAACTGGCAAACACGGAGTGTAGGGACCACAGCTCTGTCCCGCAAAGTAGCTGGGAGCCTTGGCCGGGGGAGGAGGCGTTGGAGGTGGAAGCACTAAACAGATACAGGAATCAAGGATGTTTGAAGTGAGCACCAGCGAGCACATCCCCCGCTCAGCGGAGGGGCCCTACAACGCACTCAGCCAGCCAAGGGCTCCGCCTGATGCCCTGTTGAAGGCTCTGGCTTTTGGTGGGTGACCAGCGTAGCCCAGATCATCTGTTTCCTGGTAGAGCCGGGGGAGAGACTAACCACGTTAACCCTTTGGAGACTGCAGACGGAGGGGGCAGCTGATGGAGACCTGGCTGGAGGCTGGGCTATCTCTAGCCCTGTCTGGCAGTGCCTTGGCCATCCTGACTCTGACCGCAAACGGGCCTTCCCTTGGAGGGCCATGGCTGTGTGCACATGAGGAATAAGAGAGGGGGGCAGGCCTCTTGAGCCCGCCCCTGACCCTTGGCTGGCAGCAGCAGGCCCCAGACCAGTTTAAGGTCAAGCTTGAGCTCTCTAAAGGACCTTGCTTGTCTCTAGGCCTTTAATGGCTGCAGTGAACAAGACAGAAAGTCAGACCATGGGCCAGCTTTCAGGCAACGTCCGCCCAAGCTGTGATGGGTTTAGCCTGGAGAAGGGGCCTTATCCCTATTTTACCAATGGGGAACTAAGGCCTGGATCCTCAAAGGGGCCTAACTTCTACCAACCTCAGTGACTAGCCGAGGGTCGCCCAGGAACTGAACAGAGGTCTCCCACGCCCATGGCTGGTGCGCTAACCACTGAACCGGCCTCCCCCTGCCATTTGCATGAGGATCTCGCTTTACGAGCGTGGGTGAGTTTAACCCCTCGGAAGTAGGGCGGTACCATCCACCCCAGACACAGAGGCAGAGTGAGGGGCTCAAGGCCACCCAGTGACGGAGGTGGGAATGGAACCCAGAAGTCCTGAGCCCCAGTCCTGTGCTTTAGGGACCAGGCTTCTCTAGCTGGAGATGTTAGCTAGGGCCGCGGGGACGGAGTGTACAGCGATGCCCGTCGTGGCCCCGCAGGAGGTTTGAACGAAGGGCTCCGCGCACGGAGCAGGCACTGGCTGGGTTTAGGGCTGCGTGAGGTAAAATATGCCCATGAGCTGCCGGCGCTGCAGAGCGTGGGCGGAGCGAAGCGCTGGCCTCCACAGAGCCCCCGTGGTCCTGCCGCTTCCATGCAGACCGAGGTGCTCGCTTTATATTAACAAGGGGTTAAAGGAGGGCCGGGAGCCGGAGCTGGGTTGAGCTGGCACAGAGCC